GGGGGCGGGGGGGGGGGGGGGGGGGGGGGGTTGGATTGACGGATCTGGAAAATACTCTGGAGGCATTTGTACTTACAAGATGTAGTGATGGATCGAACGTTTGTCATTAGTTATGTACCCGAAAGTTTCACAAATTGTTACGTGTTAATGCCATTGACAAATTCTACCATTGATTCCAAACTAAAAACGAGTGGGAGAAGACAGATTCCTGCCGTTTTTAACACTCCCAAACATTTCATCAACAGCTTATTAATCACATAATACCATTCACAGAATTATTTATAATCTTGAAAATTGGACTACCACCACATGTTGGATTTTAAGTGAGTAACGCAATTTGTTCTTTACGTGGCGACATACATGTGGCGATTAGTGATTTGTTACTGATTTGTTACACGAGGTAATAAAACACTAACTATCAAATGTATGTCACGTAGGATGACATCGATAATAATTGACTGTAAATAATATTATTCAAACCAATTTCAAATTAAGAATGTCTAATCCCATTGTTAATTGTTTATATTAAGCCAGTCATAATTTAAATCATATTTTCAGTAGATTTTTCATTAAATGTGTGGTTGAAAAGTTGTGGATTCAATAAAATACGTAGTTAAAATTTATTGTTAATTTTGACTTTGATATAAATCTTTAATAAACAGGGGCGAAATGTTTGTGTTGAACCCCACATACACGTGTCAATGAAACGATAAACAAATAAAATTGCACTCTAGGTATCCAACCTATTGGCTTACTGGTTGGTCTCCAGTCTTAAAAAAGAGTTAGCCCTCGTTTGACACATTTTTTTTTATATTATAAATTGGTCAAACTTTACTTTTAATTACATATTTCAATAAACTCATAATTTTTATTCTACTTTTTAATCAGACATTTTGTGAAACTCACCAACTTATAATCTCACTCAATAGGGCATCAATTGATTATCAACTTTCATTACATTTGCACAATCTATATCCAATAATGTAAATTGTCTAAATCATTCGTGTGTACTTCCAACTTGTAGACTTAAGTTTTGCTTCTCAACTTGGATTGATGTCTAAATTTGAAAATGAAACATAAGGCTCGAGTAACAACTTAATTACCATTTAACAGTGATGAACTCTGTTTCAAAGGTTATGACCAAGTTATTACTAGGACAATAAGTCGAGGACCATTGGTACAAATTTCCCCTCAATTCTTTTGCAAAAAACAAGAAAATAAATATTGTACAATTCACATGGTCACATGTGGTCAATGATGCAATGAACCGACATTTAGAGCTCTGGTTCCTCGAACCCAACAAGGTAAAGAATTTCAAAATTAAAATTTTCTTCATCACCAAAACGCGTTTATTTACATATACAAATCTACTCAATTCTATATATCTGCCAAACCCACGAACTTTATTCAACAATTCTCTTCGCATTCTCCATTCTTCCCTTTCTTTGTATTCAATAATTTGTTTCTACATTTTCTTCATCTATTGATATGACTTATCTTGGGCAAGCATTAGTATTAATTCTACTTTCTTTTGTTCCATCCTTTGCATACGCAATCCGATTATTTTCTTTCCCAAATGATAATACTCATTTTTCAGTATACAATAAAGTCCCGGAGTATTTCAATCGACAAGAATGCTTGGTAAAGAGAAGTTCCTTTTCTGTATGTGATCCATCTTTTGTTCATGTAGCAATGACCCTTGATTTCAAGTACTTGAGGGGTTCCATAGCCGCAGTCCATTCAGTATTGAAGCACGCCTCCTGCCCGGAAAACGTCTACTTTCATTTCATCGCCTCCGATTCCAGTTCATCCGATCTTAGAAAGATCGTCGAATCGACATTTCCGAGTTTGGGTTTCGAGGTTTATCCCTTCAATGAAATGCTTGTAAAGAAATTGATATCATCTTCAATTCGTCAAGCACTGGAGGAGCCATTGAACTATGCAAGAATTTATTTGGCTGAGATTATTAAGCCGTGTGTCAACCGTATGATTTACTTGGATTCTGATACCATTTTGATTGATGATATTCTGGAACTATGGGGTATAAATTTGACTGGTAAAAGAGTAATTGGTGCTCCTGAATACTGTCATGCTAATTTCAACAAGTATTTCACCTATCAGTTCTGGTCCGATCCGATTCTTTCGAGAACTTTTGAAGGAAAGAAACCGTGTTACTTTAACACAGGAGTGATGGTTATGGATTTGGCTAGATGGAGAGGAGGAGAATACACCGAAAAAATTGAGAAATGGATGAGAATACAAAAGGAAAGGAGAATTTACGAGCTGGGTTCGCTTCCTCCGTTTTTGCTTGTTTTTGGTGGCGAAATCGAGGCCATGGATCATAGATGGAACCAACACGGGCTCGGTGGAGACAATGTGGTGAACAGTTGCCGGAGTTTGCACCCTGGTCCGGTCAGTTTGCTGCATTGGAGTGGAAAGGAGAAGCCATGGGTGAGGCTCGACCTTGGGAGGCCATGCCGGGTTGATCATACATGGGCACCATATGATTTGCACAGAACGAAACACCATCAGAAATGGTGACGGAAAATTGTTCCGATCAAATTCTTTTATTGTTTTTTCCGCCACATTCTTTTTGTACATGAAAATATAGAGATTTATACAACCAAGTGTTGGTGACAAGTTATTTCTTTTGATATTTCAAATGAAAAAAACCGTTCACTGAAGAAACATGATATGGTCCATCTTATAATCTTGGGCAACCTGGTCTTTGAAATATCTGGTGCGACCGAACTTTCACTTACCAACAAAGTTTTGAATAGTGAATTTTTGAGAATATATAATTAAAAAGTATGATTTCTGAGGAAAATGTTTTATTATATGAATGTATAATTGAAAATAAGTATATTGAAAAAAATGATATCAAACGGGGGTCTAGTGTCACCATGGTCACTGTTTCACCATGACTATCAAACTTTTTACCAAGTGTCGCACGACGACCAAACTTTCTATTAAGTGTCATCATGATCACCGAACTTTAATTTATTTCGCATGGCCATTGAACTTTATAGGATAAGTAGCATTGGTGGCTCCTAACCGTTGAACATTTTGTTGATGAGTACAAACATTTGACTTTTAACACTACGTATCCCAAGATTTTTCAAAATTTGTTTAACAAAAAAGTCATTTTGATCATTAAAACGTCAAATTTTGAGTAAAAATGATAATTATACTCTTAGGGTGTGTTTGATTACATTTATTTTCCACCCAAATTCCTACTTGGAGTGTTTGATTGCTATATTTTTTCCATGGAAAACATTTTTCAACTTTTGAAAATATGCTTAATTTTCCTTGTTTTTAAAGAAAATATTTTCCTTGGGTAGAGGTGGTTTTTATTTTCCATAAAAGATGGAAAACATTTTCTTTTCTAGGTAATATTTTCCATGCCAATCAAACACACTCTTAGTTTAATTCATAACAAAGAAATAAAAAAGGAATTTTTTTTGAAGGCTTTAGGACTTGAGTGCTAAATATCAAAGGTTTGGGATCCGTCATCAAAAGGTTCAACGGTTAGGACGCCAATGCCATTTACCTAAACTTCATAAATAAATTAAAATTCAATGGTCACGATGGCACTAATGAAAAATAAGTTCGATGACCATGATGATACTAAGTGAAAGATTCAGTTTACATAGCTAAACAAAATAAAGTTTGATGGTCATGATAATACTAAGTGAAAAGTATGGTGGCCATAGATAAATTAACCCAAAATTATATAAAGAAAAGTCACAGGCGAGCAGCCAAATAAGAATATTCGACTGCACTACACTTACAGGAAAAAAAAATTAAAAAAAGAGTCAAAACAGGGGGACAGGTGTCCCCCTGCAATTGGCTAAGGCAGAAACCTGTCCCCTGGTTTGACCTTGTAAAATTTTCCCTGTACACTCAGAATTTTCCTTCTCGAATATATAAAGGCCACAAACTACGAGGAATAAGCTGTATTTCTCCCGTCTCCAGCTCCCATAACGCGTTGCCTAACTTCTCTCAGAACATTGAATCCTAATATTCTCCGTGTGAATCGGCGTTATTTCTCCAATGGCTTCACCTACTCTCAAGCGATGGCTCAGGCCTGAGGTTCGTCCCTAGATTTTCTCCTTTGATGTCAACGACTCACTAATATAGGGACCAACTACAATACAATCTTTTTACTGATTTTTTCTGGTGTCGTTAATTTGTATATGTTCAGATCTGATGGTTTTATACGCGTATTGATCGGTGTAGGTTTATCCTTTGTTCGCGGCCGTCGGTGTGGCCGTTGGGATTTGCGGAATGCAATTGGTCCGAAATATTTGTACCAATCCTGAAGTCAGGTATACCATAAAATCTTGCTATGTCTACGTTTCGTTTTTATTTTCTTAGATCTATGCGATAATGAATCTATTGTTCGCCAAAGCATATTGTTATGTCTTGAATATTGTCATTTCTTTTCTTTTCGCTTTATTTTTACTGTGTTTGTTTCCATATCGTCTAAATGTTTGTCTTCTATATATTATTTATCGTTAAATCTTTTGTCGTCGATTGTCTTAATCAAGTTTTCATTTTTGATAAGACTGATCCAAAGAGCATGGGTTTCTTCATTCACTTGATTAAACAGTAAAGGATTAAACTCTAATTCCAATTACAAAATTAATTATAAGCCAAAAAAAATAAAATTAAAGAATTGCTCAAAGTGCACGCACATTCACTTGTTATTTGAAGGTTTAAACTGTAACGAATATGAATAAGGAGTGTAGAAAGGATCTCATACTTCTCTTGTTCGAAAAATGGCAGGTGCTCTTAAATCCTCGGTATATGGTAGGAAAATTGGATAGACTTAATACATGGTTGAATCACAATCGAAGATATAACTGAACAATACTTAACCTCCGCAAAATCCAATGGAAATATAAAAATAATTGTTTTGTCATTCATCCCACAAAGCTAGTCATGCATATGAACATTTGAGCTTCTAGTGTCCATACTTCGGATTCTGAGAAGTTCAATCTCATTAATTGATTCAGACAACTTCTAATATTTAACTCTTAGGGAAAAATTGAAGTTTTGGTACGATTATTAAACATTGTTGTTTAATGATTAGTATGACAGGGAGTTGATTGTACAAATTAAAGGATTCACATCCTATGAAATTTGAAATGTCATAAAAATTCTTATAGTTAACGAACTTAAAATTACAGACATTAAGAATTACGAAATCAAGTGTAATGTCAACTAATTCTCATATTCCATTTGTTAAGATGGAAGAAATTGATCCTAATTTCAGTTACTAATATTTTCCTTTTGTTTGTAAATGAAGGGTGACCAAGGAAAACCGGGCTGCTGGTGTTTTGGAAAACTTTGCAGAAGGGGAAAAGTATGCCGAACATGCTCTTAGGAAGTTTGTCCGAAACAAGTCCCCTGAAATCATGCCTACCATCAACAACTTCTTCACTGATCCTAAATACTGAATTGGTGAAAGTTATGATTTTCTGAGAGAATTGATTCTTTAAAATGCAATTACATACGACTTGAACCAATCTTGTATTGGATATACAAGAAATTCGAATAATTGTGACCGTGATTGGAAATTCATTATGATGTTTTCAACATTCAACATCATATTCGTGGATTACGTATTTTGATATCATCTGCTGTTTCTTGTTCTTATGTTTCACTTAATTCGTCGTGCTCATTTTCCAGCTACTTTTTTATGTTAAAACATGCATGCCAGTGTCCCATTAAGTGAAATGTTAGTGCCAAAATTTAAAGGTTAAGTTTAGGAACCATTTTTCGCCAATTCCCCCCTGAAAGGGATATTTGAACCCTTCTATAAAGATTTTCGAAATTCAGCAACAGTGTGTTCAATTTTAACGTATAATGCTTAAACATGACTCATTATTTAGAGAGAGCATTTTATGCATTTTAAAGAGAATCTTTAAATTTAAAGTCAAAAATTTTATACATTCTAACAATAATCTTTATTTTGGCTCTTCATTTTGCTTTTCTTAAGAAACATTATTTGATTTCTCCTTGTATTTTACGTAGCATAACTTTTATATGTCAATGATCAATGAATTTAAATATGATTTAAATAGTTTAAGAAGTATATAAATGCAATATTAAATAAGAATAGAGAGAGAGCAACTTTTTAAACTTGTGGAGTCAAACTCCATTATTTTTAAACTTAACTCTTTAAAATAAAGTGCATTTTGTATTTAGAGTATCTTTTGGAAATACTCTAATGAGCAAGTGTTAACAATATTGTGAACAACAATATTAGTTTCTAGTGTTAACAACATAAACTATTTTGAACCAATACTGTGAATCAATTCAAAGAGAAGAAAAGAAGAATGAGAGAAACAATAATCCATTAAGCAATCAAAGATTAAGGTTTACAATGAATTAAAATTGTTTATATATTACAAGGAAATCTAAACTAATAAGGAGACCTAAAAAAATAAGGAAATTAAATATTAATTAAATAAATAATATATTTATCATCCCCTCAAACTCACGATGCTAAAGCAAGAAGCGATGAGAGTTTGTCACACAAGAATTAAAAACTATGAACTGGATGAGATTTAGTGAAGAAATCAGCAAGCTGCAATGATGAAGAAACAAAAGGTACGAAAATTGTGCCAATCTGCAGATGATGGCGAATCACATGACAATCAATCTTAATATGTTTTGTGCGTTCATGGAATACAAAGTTGTGAGAGATCTGAATAGCACCGGTATTATCACAATACATAGAGTTGGAGAAGAATGAGGAACACCCATGTCTGCAAGTAATCATCACAACTACACAATCTCAGTGGTAGTGGATGCCATAGCTCGATACTCTACCTCCGTAGAGGAACGGAAAACAACAGTTTGCCTCTTACTTTTTCCAAGAGATAAGAAAATCATCCAAAAATATAAAAAACTAGTAATGGACTTGCGATTAGTGGGGTTATTAGCCCAATCAGCATTAGAGTAGGCACGGAGCACTAAGACTGAGGACGATGGAAACAAAACATTTTGAAAGCATGTACCACGAAGATAATGCAAAATACGAACAATGCTGCCCAACGAACTGTAGTAGGAGTTGAAACAAACTAGTTAACAATGTGAACAACATAAGCAATATCGGGATGTATGATGGTAAAATAAACTAGATATCTAAGAATAGTACCATACAAAGTCGGATTAGGCAATGGTACATCGTCAGAGGATGAATATCGAGTGTTAGACTCAAGAGGAGTATCAACAGTTTTAGTATCAGTAAGAAAAGCACGCTCAATAACATCTATACTATACTTGGACTGAGAGAGAAGATAACCTATAGGAGAATAAGCAACTTCGATCCCAAAAAAAAAAAGATAATGTACCCAAGTCCTTCATTTCAAAATGTCTAGCCAATTTTGATTTCAAAACTGCAATTCCATCAACATCATCACTAGTAATAATCATATTGTCAACAAATAGCAATAATATAATGCGACTAGCAGAAGTGCATCTAAAGAATAAAGCGGAGTCATGATGACTGGATGTAAAACCAAGAGAGATAACAACAGTGAAAAATCTCTCAAATCAAGCACAAGGTATTTGTTTGAGGCCATAAAATGCCTTCTTGAGCCTGCAATCAAATTCAGGAGAGTCAGAAACATCAGGGGGAGGAACCATGTAAACCTCCTCTTGAAGATTTCCATTTAAAAAGACATTTTTGACATCCAATTGAGAGAGACTCCACTGACGAACAGAAGCAACTGCAATAAGTGTATGAACAATGGTAATCTTGGTAACGATGAGCAAAAGTCTCCTCATAATTCAAACCATATTGTTGATTAAAACCTTTAGCAATCAATCTAGCCTTATAGCGCTTAAATGAACCATCAGATTTGGTTTTAATCTTATAAACTCGACGACAACCGATAGCTTGTTTACCTGAAAGTGATACAATCAAGTCCCAAGTATCTGTCTTATGCAAAGCAGAGAGTTTATTAGCTATAGCCTATTGTCAAAGAGGATCTAGAATAGCGTCTTTATATGAAGATGGTTCAGATAACTTGTGAATAGAGGTTAGAAAGCAGTAAAAGGACTTAGAATAATAAGAATAAGCAAAATCAGGTAACTGAGTGGACTTACAAATACGTTGAAGTTATCAAAGAAGAGATGGAACAAAAACTGAATCAACAACCTCAGGCGGTGCTTGGAAGTCATAGAAGGAGGATGGGTATCATGAGTTGGAGCATCTGTACCTACAGGACATGAAAAATCAACAATACATGGGGTATGGGTAGGTGGACTGTTTATGTCATCAGAGAATGGATCAATATGAATGAGGTCTGTTTTAGTTACGTCATGAGTATTATCAAAAATAGAAAAGAATGGAATATGCTTAAGAAACACGACATGACAAGAGACATATAATTTGTTATTAATGGGATCGAACATTGATAACCCTTTTGCATTTGCCCATAACTTAAGAAAACACAAATAGTCGAACAAGATGTCAACTTACTACGTTTGATTTCAGGACGAAAAACAAAGCAAGTACAACCAAAGATTCTTAATGAGGAGTAATCCGGAGGATGCCCATACAATATTTCAAAAGGTGATAAACCTGAATTGTGAAAAAATGGAATCTTATCAATTAAATATACAACAGTAAGAGCTGCTTCTCCCAAAATTCACTGGAGACTTTGGCTGACAAAAGAAGTGAACGGGCAGTTCTACAATATGCCTATACTTTCGTTCAACAATACCATTTTGTTGGGGGTATTAGTACACGAGGTTTGATGAATTGCGTCGTCAAGGGCAAGCAATTCAGAGAAATTGGTTGAAGTGTACTCTCCACCCAAATCACATCTAAAGCACTTAATTCCACTATCGAGTTTTAGTAAGTGCTCTAAATGATCAATAGATAGAAATAAAGTCAGATCGTCATTTCATAAGATAAATCCAACAATAACTACTATAATCATCAATAAAAGACATAATATCTAGACTTTCCTTTTGTAGCAATAGGAGCATGTCCCCACACATTAGAGTGAACAAGGTCAAATAGTGCAACAGAATGAGAAATACTTCGAGGAAAAGGTAAAGCAGGAAATTTTGCCAATTTGCAACCACTACAATTAGAAATATCATGAGTTTGTATATTTCCCAATTGACCATTGGAAACTAAAAATTTCAAACAACTAGCAGAAACATGTCCAGGTCTAGAATGCCGCAAATAAAAACTAGAAGACGATGAATTCAAAGGGAAAGATGACAAATCATCACCAGGAGCTGCAACGTGTGATGGTCTTCGATTGTCCAGAACATATAACCCTCATTATCTACGGTCTATCTCAATCAGCTTCTGAGATTGAGGACCCTGCATATGACAATCAATAGAAGAAAACTGAACTAAGTATCTAGAATCATACAATTGGCTAATAAAGATAAGATTCAAAGTAAGAGTTGGAACACAATAGACATCTGAAAGTGATAAATTAGGTGTATTAACACAATCAACACCTGCTAAAGGCAATGGTGTGACATCAACAGTCATAACAGACAGAGACGGGTTAAGACGAAATGCATTAAAGAATTTTGAGTTAGACGACATGCGTTTGGAAACACTTGAGTCAAAGATCCATGAGGAAGAAATGTCCGAGCGACTTTGAGATGACAAATCTATATGAGTGGAGGTTGACATACCAGTATGTGGTTGTGTGGATAAGAACTTCTGAAACTGCTATACTAAGTCTATCGACATGGGATTGGAGGAAGGTGGTGCTCGAAATATAGATGAGTCACTAGGTGGCATGGTGGCAGCCATGTTAGCATTGGGACGATAGGATCGCTGTTGTGATTGAGGTTGCTGCTTCTTCACTAGGTTAGGACATTAAGACTTCTAATGTCCTTTTTGTTTACAAAAGTTACACACATCACTACGATTCGCACATAACCTTTATTTTGATACTGTGTGGACAATTGAGATGGTACAACCAACACTGAGGTGCTAGAAGGAGGAAGAGATACTTCTCCTACAAGAGATTTCAAACGTATTTCCTCAACTACAAGTCTACTAACCACCGAATCAACTGAGGGAAGTGGAGTGCAATGCAAGATAGAGCCTCGAAGTCCCTCAAAATATTGCGAAGTGCCATAAAAAACTAAATTAATCGCCGCTCCTCTCTAAAAGTAATATATTCTTCACATGTTTTCAGTCTTACTAATTTCGTAAGAGCCAACTATCCCAAATTCAATTCATAGCAGCGTAAAATTCAAAAATATTCATATTCTTCTGATGTAAAGCCCATATATCAAATTTCAACTGATACCGTTTTGTAAAGTTAGACTTAGGCCCCGTTTGATACATATTATTGTAAAAATGAGAATGAAAAATATAGTCGTTACGGACCCCACACAAGAGATAGAAAGTCAAATATAGTGGTTTGATGTGATGAATAATAGTCATATTTTTAATTTTAATGAGCAAAAAATAGAAAACAAACGGGGGCTCAATGTATAACTTTTGAAAGTGCTCCCGAAATTCCTTTGCTATTTCAAATTTCACCGACTGTGTACCAATGGATTGCTCAACAGAATTATGAATCCAAGTGAGAGTTTTCGCATTGTTTTGACTCCCAATTATCTAATTCTGTTACATAATTCTGAGCAGTGTTCTCGA